TCATTCATTTTTGAGAAAAGATAACATTTCACATATAATCGTTTCCCTTCATCGTGTATATCGAACTCGCTGTTTTGCTGTTGACAAAAAGATCAGTCAGTCTTCAATCTCCAGTAATAAAGATAGTAGGCTGGTGGACCTGTGTTAATCCTGAAAGTTTACCTTCTAGTGAGAGTCCAGCTTCTCGAAAATGTTTACTGATGGGGCTGATTCCACTTGTTTGGGTAAGGCGTCTCAGTAGTTGACTGGGACGGAACCCCACTTCAAGTTCATTAGATTGCGGGTTGTGAATCTTCTTAGTATGACCTCGGAGATTATTAATGCTGGAGGTACCAAAATGATAAGACGTATCAACATCCAAATTGTAATTAAAAATAGAAGATGCCAATATACGACAGTCAGATAACTAACCAACATTACATACATGTTGTTTGGAGTTTGCTGAAAACATTTCACCGCTCTTAATTGTCACATTTCTCTCTAACAAAATCTAAATTAGTATACAAGATTTTTGGTGATTGTAGAATTTCCACAATTTAGATCATGACCTAATCTTAGCTACACTACTACTGAAAACATAGAAGTGCTGGACGGTCGTTCGTGATCGTGCACCATTGAGGAATCATTGAATGTTTCCTAATTTCCAAAGGTTTCCAAGCTCAGGTCCTTAATTTCTAGAAAATAACAACACATTTTGCGTAATTTCATTGATTTCCATATGAAAGGAACCGAAGAAATAACGACAGTTACAGTACTGTGGTGATTGCGCGTCATTTACCCACGAAATAATTCAGTGAATAAACGTTTGTGAGCTTAAATAATCAACAGATAACATAAACTCAGTGTATTCCTGTGAAATTATTGTTCTGTATTTAATGACTGGTCAAATTTATGCAAATCGGAGATATCTGCATATAAGCCCTACGATTATCTCAGTAGCCTCAGTTCGCTAATCCTTTCCACAAAATATTTAATCAGTAGGTCTCTAAATGTCAGTTAAGGCGCATTTTCGGGGTTATGAATCAAGATAAATAACTCATACCAAGAATGATGATGAATCAAGAAATCTCTGTGATTAAGTTAGCGTTCTTGCCTCGAACACACAGGTAAAACAGAAATTCCTGAGCTCAAAATTACTCGATATCGCTCTCTGTTTTTATGCTTCAAAAATATAACAGTGATATCCTGGCGGCTAAACATTCAAATACTTTAAAATACCCGCAGAATAGACCAGATATTGGGATCCTTAAATCTGATAAAGGTTCTAATGCACTTGTTATGATTAAATATGACTACAAAGAAAGAAAGTTATCCCTTCCAAGTAAAAAAATAGGTTTGTGTTTCTTAGAATACAACTAAGGCTTTGCAAAGTGCCTCTTTAACAGAACTAATCAAATATGCACCAAAGATGCTTTTAAATAAGACATGAAGCTGCTGAGTAAAACATTGATATTGAAGAGTTTTTCGTTGAAGTTGGTAAGTCGGTATAAAAGCCATTAGTACTGAAACCTCTTCTTAATCCTGTGTAAATATACTACTCTCATCGGGTTAAATCCGTGTTATTATTAATTTAACAGAATTTCTAAAAAGAACTAATTACTTTAAGTTACTGGACTATGTTTCGCACCATCTATTTAAGCATTCGTGCAAACGAATTCTGTAGACCTGAGTGTAAAAATTATCCCGGAGAAATTTGTTTCTCTCAGCTTTTATACAAGCTATACCCTCACTATGCTGCCAATTTGCTAAAATTAAAAATAAATATCATTATCTTTCGGCTAAGTTACCTATGAATGTTACTGGGTGACAATAAACTAAGATGAGAAATTTGTCTAGTGTCTTTTGATTGTCCATGGTTTTCCATATGATGAGTCAATTCATGGTGAAAATTACTATTATACATTATTTGTTTAATTGGACTTATGCAAAGTTTAACTTTGCCTTCGGATTGCATTATCGAAATTTATCAAAGGGACTAATGGTTTTAACTTATTAAAATCGTTATATAATTGTCTAATCCTAATCAGTGGAAAACTGAACTTTTAACATTTTGCTACTTAATGTAAATTATCTCTTTAAAGAATAAATAATTAAAACAAATCAACACAAATGTCAACTACACAGACCAATAAATCAAAATATTTAGTACAATAAAAATAAGTCTGAACATTCTAATGCCACATCATTTAGGTCAAAGTTAAAATGTTGGTATACATTCATGTTGATCTAAGTGGGTGTGAGAAATGTGATATGAGGAAGTGAAACTCATTTGTATATTTGCTTATAGTTTGAGACATATTTATTTATTTATTTATTTGAGAACATAAATAATGGCATAAATGGGCATCACATACATATACGCCACACAATAACAATGATAATGTGAAGTGATAAAGCATGCAACGTGCGTATAAGAAAAAGGAGAACAAAAACAAACAGAAATTAGTGTATGATAGTGAAATAATAATAATAATAATAATGGGAGGGGCAGTTCAGTTAGCAAAGTTACAACCAGAAAGAATTCTTCTATTTAAGGAAGTTACGTCCACATTTTATGAAGTAAAATAAAGTTAAGCAGGATCGCCACTGGCTTCTATTCTGAGCTATATCTTACAACTTCTCTAGCCACTGTGTTTCACAATCTCTCGGACCCCAGCCAGGCAGTCGTGAAGGGCCAACAGAAGCCAACCCTTTTGCAGCTTTCTTTCGTACCGCTACACTATATCATACACTGACCACCTCTCCGCCTCTTCCAACCAGTCGCAGAATCGGCAAATAATGCACGACAGGGAATTCTCTGGGATGACATTCATGGAAAATGTCCAAGCCACCGAACTCGATGTTTCAGGATGGTGACACCAATTGCATTATCGTCTCTGCACCTGAACACACGATGCCGAACTTCTGCATTACTAACATGGTGTTGCCACTGGATGTCAACACCGCCATAACTTACATCCACCAGAGCTGTTTCCAGAATGTCGTCGATGGCAAGGTTGAAGAGGAATGATGAGATTGGTCAATCCTGTCTAACTTCACTATTCGAATGGAACAATGGAGAAAGGTGGTTGTATGCCTTCACTCTGCCTGAGGTGTTTGTATGTAGAGCCTTTAAGACGTCAATGAACTTCTCATGGACACCCTTCTTCAATAGACAATCCCAGCGAACAGTCCTGTCCAACGAATCGAAGGCAGCCCTAATGTCTGCGCATAGTTGTAGTAGAAGGTCACTGTTATCTGATTTACAGTCAACAGGCCACCACTGGCCCCCTAAAGAACTCTCGTCTGTGCCTAGACACCCGGCCTGAGCATTTAAGTCTCCGGCTAGTACTACAATATCTGTCGAACGCACTTTCTGTAGAAGAACATTTGACTGGTGGTAAAATTCATTCTCGATCGCATTCAGGTTTCAATCTGTCGGAGCATAGGCTGAGACGACGAAACGACATCGTTTCTCGCACGGATTTCTTCTCACTTTGATGAAACTTTCTAATCTAACAGCACACAACCGATTATTAATGGGATCCAACCGATCAGTACTGTCTCAGCTCTAGCGCTTAGTGCGACACGAACGCCAGCAAAACCAGACGGAGATACCACAGGGTCCCCGGATAAACGCACGTAAAACAATATTTTTAAAGCGACAGATGGAGAGCGAATTTGTAGTACTTCATTAGAGTCTTAAATACGGGTCCCGGTAGACAACAGATATCGATATTAAGACTTTCTAAAGACAGCCAGCCCTATGTGTTGTCCGATCTCCATTAGTGTGCGAAAATTGAAGGAGGCCAGTTTGAGTGATATATGTGGTTTCAGAAAGACTTAGTATTCGTAGTCGGTGGTATCATCTAACTTTCGACCGGTCAGTAACTCGAGATCGTTTAGATAGGACAGGGTTTCCACCATAGGCGAGCCTCTGTATAAGTCGAAAGACAAGGATGCACAAAGTGGAAATGAATGAAAGTAGTATATAGAAAAAAGAAAAATGAATGGGAATTGTCTGAGTTTTAATCGAGGCGAAAATAGTGTTTTCAGTAATTATCGTCATTTCATTTTCTTTGTGTGTGAGCTGTGATACTACCCAAGTGCTCAGGCCGAGGTAGATTGTTTTCTAAAGGGGCCACAACCGGAGCCTTTGATTAAAACGTATAATTTACAAGGCAGTGGAGCAAAATAAGGAGATACAAACCCATGGTAGCCGGTGACCAACAATAGGTTCATAGGCCTTTTGCTCCCTTAGGATCATGTAACTCATATGCTCCATTGGTTTGGGATCAGGGTTTTCCAACTCCTCTAGGTGGATCCTTCGTTTCCACCAATCCGGGTAAAGTGCCAGACATTCGCTTTTCATCCTCTCAATTTCGTAAACAACACCCCTTCTGCGAGAAGGCAGTGAGTAGGACTTCCCTAGTAGTTGTTGTATGCACGTGGCCATGTGAAAGCGTTTCGAGAGGGAGAGCTAACTCTCTCCACTCTCGGCCGTACATAAATAAATATACACATCTCCCCTTTGACTTGAATAATTTGACATAAAAATAATCAAATTTGTATTTTGATTTGTTCGTCTATACCAATTAAAATGGTGTTAATTTATTTTAATTATTTATTTTCTGAAAGAACAATTTAATCTAAGTAGTGTAACGTCAAAAATTCAATTCTCTACTCATTGGAATATAACAAATTTTTTTATTATAAATAATCTACTACATGTTCTGGTTATTTGAGTACATCAAGTCAAACTTTGGTAATGATTCTTAGAAACAGTCTTTTTTATATATGGAATTATAATTTTACTTGCTTTTTTAATAATCTTTATGTATTTTGTTTTCTTAAGACTTTTAATATAACTTGTAAACATTATTTTAAACGTATCTAAACAATATTAGATGTTAACCGTTAACAGAAAACCTATTGGCTGATTTGCTTAGCAAAAAAGCAATAATTTACTCCCATAGTATGAATGATTATATTAGCTACACAGATTATTTTTAGTTAATCAAATGCTTTATACCACGACTTGCATGGGTATAAAACGTTTTTGCAAAAGGAAACGTACTATAAAGCAGGTTAAATGTGAGGTTAACAGTTGGATGGAATACCTTATTTTTTTTCTCAATTTATCTTTGCCTCTCAATCACAAAATGATTTAAAATGTATTTATTATCAAATTATGTCTGAAGATGATAAGGCGATATTCCGAAATAAATCAACAAATAAACAGCTCTATAACATATTTGTTTACGTTTTAAAAGAATTTTCATTATTCACTTATCAGGTATTTTATATTACAGCATTATCATCAGAAAAAAGGAGATATTCAGTACAGAATGCATCCGGATCTGGAGGTCAGTTTGTTCCACTTGTTAATCTGTTTTTTTTCTATTCATTCGCTATCTAAAAAGTTTGATTACACACTAAACGGTTTATTTTAATATCTTTGCTACCCTGGCCAATCAGTAAATGAATCGTCAAACCAATGATAAGAGAACTATCGGCTCAGTGGAGCATATCTTCGAAATTAAACATTTCCTTTAGGCAACATAAACAAATTTCTCATTATACTAATCTGTAGGTCGGTTATTTCTTGTTATATTTGAATCTTGTCGTTATACTGCTAATTAGTTCAGAGATATTATATATATATATATATATATATATATATATATATATATATATATATATATATATATATATATATATATATATAATTTAAAATTAAAAGAACTGTATGAACCAGTAAAAGTTATGAATTAACTCCCTGTTATGTTTAATTTCAACTAAATCTCCATGAATATCATAATTATCTGGCTGTATTATCAGTTTTTTAGTTGAATTTTATTTTATTGAAATAAGAACTTGATAAAAAGGTTTACGAAATTAGCTATTGACTAAAATGTTGTATCTGCTCAAAAAAATGTTTGGTTTTTTTAATTTTAATATCTAAATCAGCCCTTCCTCCAAGAAACAGTCCACGTGCAACACCATATTTAAATACCCCAGTTACATCAGCTGGACGTAAGTAATGTAACTTTCAAATTTTTTGTTTCTATCATTTGTTTAGCAAAAATTCATAAGCTCTAGTTTATTATACATATATTCATAATCGTTAATCATAAGTTTAGTGATGTTTAGTTGCAAAACAATAAGGATTAATTTTAGTAAGTCATTGTTCTAAAGTAAGTAGCGACTCATGAAAAAAATCAATAGAGGTTTTGGTTGCTTGGATGTGACTAAACCATTCAGTTTATATATTTGAAAGATTTTAAAGGCGATCATAATTCGATTACTTTTAAACTCAACCCTCGGAAATTTTGAATTTGTTCCATTAGTACACATTGTAATTGACCTACTTAGTTTAACTGAAATTAACTTGTACACTATGAAAACTGTAGTGAGTGTAGTTTCGTTAAGCGTTCATCTTGATAACTGTTATTACGGGGACCCCATCAGACTGAATTCAGAAAGCAACAGAAAGCTGCAACTACAACTTAATAGCTGGTCGTACCGACCACAGCATTACAGACATATCAAGCGGATCTGAAGCGGAAAAGCCAATGAATCGTTGCAAGCAAATATAAAGGCAAATTTATTGTCACAAAAAATAATGTCACGGCGAATCAAAGTACAGTTTTTTTATAATACGGGCACATATATATGAGAACCCCACTTGTAGCTCTTCTAGGGTTACTGCCGGCCCCAAGTCCGGGTAAAGGAGGGGAGTTGGGCATGAGGTCGGTAACCCAACCCCGTAGAAAACAACCTTGCTAAAAAACGCTAACCAGAATAAACAATTTAAGCCATGTAAACTATGTTCTCCGAGTTCAAGGAAGTATTACGACGCCTCATTATGAAAGCAGAGATTCTTACGAAGTCACGAATCCGACGCCTCTTTTAACAACTAGAACAACAATTTTGATAGGTACATAGAACGTTCAGAGAGCAAAGGTTAGATACGGCAGAGATGCTGTTGTACTCCGGTCACGATGAGGAAAATGTTCCATACACTCAAGGAGTTGTTCTGATGCCGTCCAAAGAAGCATGAATCGCACTTATGGGATGAGGGTCTCATGGATCCAGGATCATCAAAGCATCCTACAGAACAAAGTAGGAGGAAATATCGATGAATGTTTTCCGACCTTATGCAACCACCAATGATAGCAATGACAACAATGAAGACCACTTCTACGAGAAGCTACAATCAGTCATATCGAAGTGCCCACGAATAGATCTCACCATCCTGATGGGAGACCTAAAAGCCAAAGTCGGAATGGACGACAACGGTTATGAAGATATGATGCGACGACATGGATTGGGAGAAAGAAACGAGAATGGCGAGAGATTTGCAAACTAATGTGCATTCCACAAAGTGGTTGCAAGTGGCAGAATATTTCCACACAAATGCATACACAAAACTATATGGGTCTCACCGGACCACATCACGGACAACCATATAGATCATAATTGTATCAATAAAATATTCAGAAGGACAATGAGAGGTATGAGAATGAGGATAGGAGCTGAAATGGATTCAGATTATCATCGACTGGTGGTTGCCAACATGAAACTGAAGCTAAAGAAACATTGTACAACCGGACAAACAGCATTACAAAGTTTCGATACAGACTTGCTTCGACATACTGACGAACCCAACCAATTCAAGATAACTCTCAACAACAGGTTCCCAGACTTACAAGAGCTACTGAAAGAAAAAGAAAATACTATGGAGGGCGACTGGGAAGAGATCAAAGAAGCACTAACTTCAACGTGTCAGAAGGTTACGGGCCGCAAGAAGCATCATCAGGAAGAATGGATCTCTATGGAAACCCTAGACAAGATTCGAGAAAGGAAGGAGAATATGGAGTCAGCAATTAACAACAACCAGACCAAGGACAGAGCAAGTCATGGCACAAGCTGAATACACAAGGGCAGATAAGCTAGTGGAGAAGAACATTATAGAGAAAACAAGCAAAAATACGTGGAAGACCTAGCAACGACTGTGGAAAGAGGTGCTAAAGAAGGAAATATGAATCAACTATATGACACAAGGAATAATCTAGCGGGCAAATATCGCATAGCAGAGTGACCAGTCAAGAAAGAATAAATAAACCGATTACTGAAATTTATGAACAAAGGAACAGATGGGTAGAGCACTTTGAACACTTCCTGAATAGGTCAACTCCATTGAATCATTCGGATATTGAAGCAGCAGACACAGACCTTCCTATGAATGTCACTCCACCAGCGATCGAAGGAATCAGGGTGGCCGACCACCAGACAAATCATGAGTAGAAAAGCAGCAGGATTTGACAATATACATGCCGAAGTACTGAAGTCATATATAGAAATAACTGCAAAGGTACTCCCATTTTCTATTCGGGAGGATTTGGGAGGAAGAACGAGTGCCACTGTGAGATTGGAAAGAAAGGTACCTCATCAAGATGACAAAGAAAGGAGGTTTGAGCAAATCTGAAAACTACAGGGGCATCACATTACTGTCAGTACCAGAAAAGATTCAGTAGACACAAAACTTCGAGACCAACAGGCTGGATTCCGTAAGGATCGGTTGTGCAAAAACCAAATCGCGACACTAAGGATCATCGTTGAACAGTTAATTGAAGGGAATTCATCACTATACATCAACTTTCTTGACTGTGAGAACGCGTTTGACGGTGTGGTTAGAAGAGCATTATGGAAACTTCAACACTATTGAGTGAGTAGCTGAGAAAATCGTTAACATCATCCGGAATTCATACAACGGACTACAGTGCAAAGTCGTGTATGAAGGACAGCAGACAAACTCATTTCATCTGCTTACTATCACTCTTTCTCTAGTTGACTGGATTATGAAGACCGACATTTGAAGAAAAGCACGGAATACAATCGAAAACTTGAATTAAACTAGACTATTCGGACTTCGCAGACCACTTAGAACTTCTATCTCATGTACATCAATAAATAATGGTTAGGACAACCAGTGTAGTAGCATCCTCTGAAGCAGTAGACCTCAACATACACAAGAAAATGAGTTAGATCTTCAAATGCAACATAGAGAATACCAGCCCAATCTCACTTCATGTAGAAGCTCTGGAATAGGTGGAATCTTTCACGTACCTGTGAAGCTTCATTGATGAACAAGAAGGATATTATGCGGACTTAAAGGCGATGATTGGTAAAGCAAGGATAGCATTTCTTAACTTGAAGAACATATGGATCTCAAAACAACTCTCAAGAAATATCAAGTCAGAATCATGAATACGAACGTCAGGATAGTTCTACTGTACAGAATCGAAAATTGAAGAACTACTACAACCATCTTCAAAATAGCACAAGTATTTCTAAACAATTTTCTACGCAAGATACCGAATGTGCTTTGGTCGGATACGATCAGCAACAGCTTATTGTGGGAGAGAACAAACCAACTTCCAACTGGGGTGGAAATCTGGAAAAAACGTTGGAAGTGAATAGGACACACATTGAGGAAATCGTCAAACTGCATCACGAGGTAAGCCATAACTTGGAATCCTTAAGAGAAACGGAAAAGAGAAAGGCCAAAAAACACACTGCGTTTGGAATTGGAAGCAGACATGAATAGGATGATTAATGACTTGAAAGAATTGCTCAGAAAAGAGTTTGATGGAGAACGCTGGTGATGCTCTATCGTATGATTTGTGCATATATCATTTAATGTATAGCTAATTTACGCATTTCATTATTAAGTTCTAAACCTGGGCTTGATGTTAGATACATTCATTGGCAGAATTTGTTTATGTACTTCAGAAAACTGATAATCCCCAGAGTTTGAAATCCGTGTCATACAGTATTATAGCCGCAAATGGAATCCGTACACTAATTATGCCTTGACTGATTTTCTATTTGCAATTGGTTCGCCACCAAATGGTAATCAATATTATGCTGTTTAATCTTTGGTGATGATCAGTAGAAATCGACTAGACGTCTATCAATAGTTTAGGGAAAAGCACCAAAGTATTATAGTAGTGAGAATAATTAACGTGAAAACAATTTATTCTGTGTTTATATTATTTGTTGTTTGTATTCATACATTGCTTAGCATTTGAACTGAAAGAATTTTTCATAAGAATTATCTCCCTTTTCTGTGTGTGTAATTTAATTGCGTTATTTAACATAGTCTCTAAATTCTAGTGACGGTGATCTATTTTCTTGAAAATTATACCAACTATTTAGCAAGTGCTGGCTAATAAAACTCTTGTAAAACATAAACAGATTAAAAGAAGTTATACAAAACACAATAAACTATTTCAAACAACTGACATCCATAATTTTTAAATTGTCACTATTTAAATAACCTTAATAGTATCCTTCATTACACAACATTAGCAAAATCTCCCAGAGGTGTTCAATTCCACAGCTTACTGACAACAGTACATAGGTTTCTAGATAAAACTTGTGCAACACTAAGGATCAGGGTAAAAAAACACTAATTATCATTTAATGTTTTATATGCTTCAACACACCTGAGGGTCAACCAAAATCTGATCTTTCAATTGCTTTATTCAAAATGAAAACAGATTATTGTAAATAAGTGTTAATTTTATAAATAAGAAGTCTACAGCCTTCTAAGAATTATTTTCCAATAGTTAACATATAACTATTAGTAATTTTAAACTACAAAATGTTAATTGATTATTCAGTTTTATTTTCATTATTTTTAACTAAATCATCATTGACAGGAAAATACAAATACTATGAGATCTATGTTTTGGCATATCATTATTTCTAGCACATTATAGATAATAACTCTTTCCAAACTGTTGATATTTCTGTGGTCTGATAGTGTAATATTTTAGTGCATTTATTGTTAAACAGACTTGAAATACACGATTGAAATAATAGTAGATCTGTGCAATTTATAGATGTGAACATTTAAATGTTTTCAGTTCAAGATGATTTTATGAATGTAACCGCAAGAATTTTCAAAAACATCCACACTCATAATTTATCTTTGAAACAATGTATCAAGTTATCTTTAAAAGTGTTCATTCATGACTTGAAAATAAGTAGCTTGAAAAAAAATCACATTTCTCTGGGCCCACTTCATAATTTACACTTGTTGTGAAAAAAGGCATTTCAAAATAATATAATTTTAATGAAACTGAATGATTAAAAAGTAAACATTTAATTTTAAGAATGTATATATATATATAATATATTATATATATATAATATATATATTATTATATATATATATATATATATATATATATATATATATATATATATATATATATATATATATAAACATTTAGAACATAATAATTTCGAATAAATTGAGCATAGGGTAGATTGTTATAAATAAATGACATAACTGTAAAATCCCAATGAGTAGAAAATTAAATTTCCTGACGTTTCGTGGCTTAGTGTAAGTCACTTTTTCAGAGAATAAAAGAAGTGACTTACACCAAGCTACGAAACGTCAGGAAATCTAATTTTCTACTCATTGGGATTTTACAAATATATTATTTATTTATTTAGAACATAATGTTTTTTTCTAAAATACAACTATATACTTGTATATAATTCTATCTTGTTCAATGCTTACTAAGACAATATTTATTTGTGATTAAGTTGAAACAAAATCACTTAGATTGTTTATTTACATTGGATTAACAGTTAATTATTTTTTGTTTATGTATCTCAGCAATACCTGTATCATCGACAATTCCAAGAGCATCGATCGCATGTAGTAAGTTTACACATTTGTTCACTGTTCCTAATCTCTGTTGTATATAATTACATCAAATATTTTAAAAACTAGAATTTCACATTACAAGTTATTTCAGTTTTAACGATTCATTTATTGTTTTATATTCATTCATAAATAATATAGACCTGACATATATATGCATCAGTTCACATTATTACACTATATCAACACTGAGAGATGAATTTGTGAAAATAAATGTCAGAATAATAGAAACAATAACCGTATCAATGGTAGTAAAGAAAATTGAGCATAGACAATATGATTTTAGAAAAAAAGAATGAAGTCACGTAATAAAAAATTAAGGACAGTTCTAAAACTGAAGATTTAAGGAAGAATGAATGAACCTACAAAGTTATTATCCCATTAAAATAATTTTACCTGTTAATTTAGTAATAGACATATTAATTTACAAATTTAAAAGAAATTAAACAATCAATGTAAATGGATAATAAAAATTTATTTCAATTTATCATCTGATTGTTTATAGAGTCACTTTAAATGTAATTCATTGTGAACAGTAATATGATTGATTTAATAATATTCACTGTGTCATTTAATCAAACATTTCATGCCACACTTACATTAAATCTTTCGATGTTATACTTTCAAAATTAAATTACTATAATCTCCGCAAAACCCCTTCTGATACTAATCAACATATGCTCACTAGTGACTGGCTTCAAAAAGTATATCCTGGAGTTTTAGTGGGAAGCAGTGACCAGTGGAGTTCAACAGGGTCAGTTGTGAGGTAGTAACTCACTGATGACAATGGTGGATGTGCCGCTCAATTTTGTGGATTAGTTGAAGTTAGACATTAACACCGCTGGATGCCGGTCAGCTCAGTGGTTTAGTGGTTAAGAGCTCGCGCGCGAGACTGGTAGGTCCTGGGTTCGAATCCCGCGAGGCGGGATCGTAGATGTGCACTGCTGAGGAATCCCAGGTTTTCCATGGTAATCTAGCTTCAATTGACTCATGATCTCAACCATTGAAATTAAACAATTAATGTTTTATAATCAAATGACATCAATGTATTCAAGGATAATTAAATTGGTATCACAAAGAGTTTTGTGGATATTATAATAATTTTATTAGTTTAGATCATGAGTCAATCGAAGCTAGACCACCATAGGAAACCTAGAAGCACTGGACGGTCATTTCATTCTACTATGGGACTCCTTAACAGTGCGCATCCACGATCCCAGGACCTATCAGTCTCGCTCGTGAGCGCTTAAGCTCTAGACAATTACAAGCATATCAATATTTTTAAAATTGACTTAATTTGCTCTAAATGTTTTAAAATAAAAATAATTATCAAACATACAAGATTAGTGTTTATCATTTTATATCAAATGGTATTTTCTTTTTTTTACTAATCCTATTTCAAACTGAAAAACAACATATCTAATTGTTAATTAACAAAATAATGGTGTAACAATGATATCTATTTATATTTCATCTCTGTTAAAATAGTAATTGCTTATATTCACACGAATATATATGTATATCGAAGCTTTATATCTGTATTTAATGTCCAATATATCTGTAATCAATACATGAAAAGTAAAGAGCTATGATAGAAATAACTGCAGATTTCCTTTTTGCTTTGGTATTCAAAAATGTTTTATACTCATCAAATGTTTTTATGTTTTTCTTTACTGGCCAACTAATTCACATTTTATTTATTTAATTAATTAATTTATTTATTTCTTTTTTTTTTCATTTGAAAAATTAAAAAGTTCAGTTTTTCATTTCATTTTTTTCCATATTATAAAACAAAATTATTGTAATCAAGACATTTGAATCCCTTCAAATAGTATTTGACTTGTAGACTATGCCAATACTTGGCGAACGTACAATGACAGAAGCATTTTGAAAAGTTCTTTAACAGGTAAACCATAATATATATATATATGTAAATGTACATCAAAAATGGATTGTTACAATAAGTAAGCATACGATGTAATTTTGAATGAATGTAATTAAAAAATCATTCAAATTACTAATTAGCATTCATATGTTGACTAAATCCCAAGGTAAGATTTGGTATTTAACTGGAAGCAAATGGATGCTGATTTATGTTCTAGTAACATTTCAAGTTTTTTCTGTAAATCCACCAATTATATAATCAGTATATGTTAGAAAGGGATGATAAATGAAATTCTATTTAATGATTAACTTATTCTACCTAAATTTAATCTGCATAACGGTTTTGTCACTTAATGCATTGACTTTTATGGTTGAACATATCGATTAAAATACTGTTATGATTTTTATTAATCTAAGCAATGTTATTAACAGTTAAAATACAGAGATTCTCTTTCTGTTTTGACAATTTCATCCAATGTCTTCAACCACAAATTATAACTAATGTGCAAGCGTTAGTCAAGAAAGTTTTCATTTCATTATAGTTGAATGGCACTTATCATTATTATATTTACTTTTATCCTGTAGCAGAAGCTTGGATGGATTTTTAAAAAAATTCCTTATTTATTTTAAATTACCCATAAAATATATTTCATAAATGTATAATGAACTTAAACGGTTAAAGTTTAATTAATGAAACCATTGAAGAATAGTGTACAAGTGCAGATTTTTCGGTTATCATACATCAATTCACTGAAAATTAAGCTTTTAAAATTGTAAAACAGTCAACAAAAAAACATTTTAGTTCGATCAAATTATTTACGTTGTTTGTTCTCATGTTCTCAACAACATCAATCTAGTAAATGATTCAGGCTATAAAGTAGATTATAAAAATGAAACATATAGAATATAATCACAAATCTACGTCGAATAATGAAAATTTAACAATTATTTTCATTAATAACTAACTTAATAACTATGTGTATAGAAAATATATCATACTTTTGTGTATGATACACTACTGTGGTGTGTGCTACTTATATTGACATAAATAGTATATGATGTTAGTCGTGAACAGAAGGTCTGGCAGCAGAGAGACAAAAGAATCGGACAGTAAGAAATGGAAACAGAATGCAATTTGTATAAAAATTCAAGGACAATGAAGTTTTAGTGATTTTGAGACAATTGATGGACATTTTGCAAATTAAGCATTTACTTTATGATTGTTAGATTTTATTAAGAAGTTCTGTAATTTTGTGTTAAATACATTCGATTGTCCCCACTGGTGTTCTGTTCACTACACTATCATTCGTATGATTAGATGACGTACTACTGTAGAAACAGTAATAATTTAATAATAATTTATTAATATAAATCAGTATGTGCAATATTAAAATTACTAACAAAATAGTGTTGTGAAGAAACACTTTCATTTTGAACAAAACATATGAATTGAACTAACGGCTTGATTTGTCTAATAATTAATTTTCTCTCTCAGTCTCACACAATCACATACAAACAGGCATACACTTTCATTTTCGACTTGACTGGTGACTAGTAGAATTATGTTTCTTAATAAATTAAAACGTTAAAATATGACTTTGATAGTATAAATAAATTAAAAATCATTTATGCATGATAGAAAATATTTATAATAACCTTGAGTCAGATTTGTGTACTCATGAATAAAGTGAATAGTTTTTCGGAATGTTTCGTTTGAACTGAAGGCTCTTTTTATTAAAAACCGATTTCAGGGAAGTCTACCAAAACCAAAAAGCTTATTAATAAACGTTTTACTATTGATAACTTGCTTTGAGATGGATTCCTCAAGGTTTTGAACAGAAGTCATGACCTATCGAATCCTACAACTCTAATGCAGCCCATTGATGTTGAAAGACGTTTGTACTGCATCAAAATGACCTAGACAACTAAATTCTGGCAGAGTTACTTTACGATCCCATGTTTTACGCAAGACTTGAATGCTTTATATTTGACTTTGTGGTAGCTTGTGATAGGAAACTAAGGAAAATCAACTTCTTAGTATGCATTAGTTGTTTACTACCTACTTGCTATATACATATATATTCACAGAATGTAGTTATACTTTTCTCTTTGTTAACCAATTATTTTGAAGTAGGTGTAACTTTTCTTCAAAAGATGTAGAGAAAATAAATCTAACTTTGACTCAATTAACTTTAAAAATACAAAATGTATAAAAGCAATGTTACTTCATTTACTTCATTTAAAGTAAAATGAAAATCACTAAAAGAAACACGTTTCATTATTCAGGGAATAATTTTTGTTATTCATGTAAATTTTATTACCAGTTATTTGCTTTTAATTTTTAGTGATAGCTTACTGTCATTCACATTTAATCCATTGACTACTTTTAACACTTGATGTTTTAACAATACCATTTTGGTGAATTTTCAAATACACCTTATACAGATATGTATATGTCTCTCGTTCATTTAACTGTTTACATTTTTCGATTTTGTTTTGATTAAATCACTGAACTTTTCGTGTTCATTGTAACATATATTCATATAGGCTTTAAAAATTATTTTGTTATGATTTAATTTGTTGATAATGTTTACTTGAATTATTTCCAGTGCTTTTAAATAGTGCAATTTTCGACAGAAATAAACAAGCATTACACTAATCACCCTCTACTTACTACACAAAGCCAAGAGTGCTCCAAAAAAGATACTATTGTGTATTAGATTAAAATAAATTTTTTTTTAAAATCCATATAACAATAAATGAAGATGTGAAATTCTTGCAGATGAAGAAATTGAAAATCATTCCTAACTAATTAAGAGTTTCATTTTTATAATTTGACTGTATATTTAAAAAGAATCATATTAGTGAGAGAAAATTAAGTTATACAAAGTAGTATCCTTATATTTTTGTATTGTTTTTATAGTCCCACTGAGTGTTCAGGCTCAAATTCAACAAAACCAAGCAATTAAATCTGAACAACCTTCTATTGCAAAATGTAAGTTGTTTTGTTAAACATTTAAAATTTAACGAGATGTAAATTAGACTAATTGCTTTTGTTTGTTGTAATGATTCATATTCTACTGTTGTTGATATTAAGAGTTAGATCTGTAAACTCTGTATAAATATATGCTCTGCTTGAATGAATAGCTCAAATAATTATTTATAGTTATAAGGTTATTATAGCTTACGTTTAAAGCACATGCTTTGTATTCCAAGGTCAACCACTATCCCAAATTATTTACTTTGATTCTTTTTATGCTTAATTTACGTTGTTTCACTGTTTATCATATATTAATCACTATTAAATGGAGATCCTCATTCTATTAAGTATGATATGCAAAACCAATCTGAATTGCTTTTTTTAAATTTTATAAGTTTTACTTATCACAGAATAATTTTAACTTAACTGTTCACTTATTTGAACGCTAAACGACATTATATCCATCAATACTTGATATTCAATTAACTACAAACCTGTTATTATTAATTATTTGATAAATGTTAGATAATTCATTGGTTTCTATCATCATATTCCATGTTTATTATGCATAATTATGTATATTAATAAATACCCTTTGAAACATATGTAATCTAGATATTTCTAAGTACATAAATTCTTCCCATTTGAATTTCGCAATAACTACAATTTGAAGAAATAATTTCTACTAAATACATTATTTGTAACTTAATTTTTTGCAGCTACACCATCACCTTTGACAAAAACTTTTGTTACACCTCAAGTAACACCCAGAGCATCTATAAGCAAAGGTAAGCTGTGTGAAAGTTTCATAATAATCTATGTTCTATGATTAAAAATAATATTGTAAACATTGAAGGATATTTTATTATGGTAATTTAGTATGATACATAGTTTTGAATTAATTGTATTCAAAATATTGCGAAGCAACTAATTTAGTAAGATATCACTAATATATAAATATTAAGAAAGAGAATTTTGTTGATAAGTATGATATTCTTGATGTTATGTAATTAAAGGCAGTTGGAAGAGACCCTAGATTTTTATTTTTGCACACTTTTATTAATCGCTAATCAATCTTACAGTTAAACTTAATAAAAATGAATCACTCTAAAAGATCAAACAAGAACTCAACGATAATTACTACCTATAAATTGAGTGTATTGAATTTGATATTCTTTAGGAATAAAAAATCAACAAACTAATCACTTATTGAACAGAAGTAAATGTCATTTGATATAATTATTAACTCTAATTGAATAATATCTTCTATGTTTAAATTATAACCGCTAAATTGACTGCACTGATATAACAGTATCTTACAGTCTATTTCTTAGTTTTCATGTGTAAAACTACCTTTAATCATTCTAAAAATCTATTAAAGTTTACCAATTTAAATCACTAAGCCTTATAACTAAGCTCAAACTACAATCAATAGAATATCATACTTATTTTAACAATGATAAAGTAAATAAATAATACATTGAAGTAAACAATTCAATCTTTAAACAGTATTGTTAATAAGTAACTTAATAAATTCTATCATAGAAATCTTCTAAGTAAATAAACAAAATGTCAGTTATCTTGGTTAATATATTAATTTAAAACATGTATTCATTATACATTAATACTTACAATGAAAATCATATATGAAAGAATCCATAAAACATTCAAAACTACTTGTCATTTATATCATATTAGAACATTAATAAACAGTCTAAAATAATAAATAACTAATCTTTCTTTGTTATTCTTATTTTAACTAAATTTCAACGATGTATTCACATAGAAACGTTTTTATTTTATTTATTTCTGTTAAATTAAATAAAACTTTTTTTTAATGACAATATCTTGTGCCAAAAAATATAAATAAGAAAAAGGTAACAATCACACTTAGTACATAAACATTTATTAGAAGTATTATTATTGTTATTATTTTGTTAAGATTATTATTAGACATGAACGGCATCTAAACATCATTTTGAAATTCCATAATGCTTGTGCCATTGGAGACTCTTTGATAAAAACAGTGTCGAAGGTCAATTATCTCAGTGTTACCTTTTCCTCTGATCTCTCTGAGTCTCCCCACGTTTTATTGTTATCGAAGAAGAATTTCCGTCTGACTTACTACATAAAGAGATTGTATGCTCTTGGGATTACTCGTCATTTACTCTTACAATTTGTCAATTCTTGCATATTACCTATTATTCTTTCCCGGGCTTTTGAGAAAAGACTTTGCTGTATTGCTGAGAGTGTTGAAGGCAGTTAGCAAGGTGTGTGGTGAATCTTTCGAGGTCATAATTAATATGGTTGTGGATACACATTTAAAATCATGCAAACTCCTGGCAGGTGTTATTTTATCAGATACTAACCATCCCCTTCACTCTTATCTTTCTCCTTGTATATCTTCTGGTAGAACGAGACGTAATTACATTAAAATCCATGCATGCAAGCAAAAGTATAAAAGTTCTATAATACATTACCTAGCAAATATACTCTGTGACGAACAGGTTGTTAGAGTTAACCTAGTCAATAACTTGCATTCTTAACACGTCTCTAATTTGTAAAGTTGTACAGTTTCTCGGTTTTTTTAAACATTTTTATTCCTTTTCTTGTCTTTGTTACTGTTTTTTTTGTTGTTGAGTAAGTAACTTGTCGAAATACCCTGTGCTGAGAATTCTATATTGTACCAAAATATAATATTGAATAAAGCCATTAATAATCATAATAATTATTATTATTAAGATTAAGATTATTATAATCAAATCATTATGGAATAGATAATATGTATTTTAAGAAAAAATTTTTTTCATTTCTTATTTTATTATTAGTTTCTGAATCAGATATAGAACATACTAAAAAACTTAATCGTCTACCAAAATCTTTTCAATGTGATTGTTGTCAACATGTTACTGTGACCAGAATAACATATCATGTTGGTGTTTTAACATGGCTTATGGCAGTGTTAATTTTTTTATGTGGGTAAGTTGTATATAAATTATTTTCTTTTTATTATTTAAAACAAACAATAAAACCCACCAAACAAAATGTCATTAAAATGATTCATCAGAGAAATAATAATAATTATAAAAAGTTTAAATAGGATTTTATTTAATGAATGTATTGATCTGACATAGTTAACATGACCCATAACAGGAATAGTTTTTTTCTTCTTAATATTAAGTGCATTTGGGCGAAATCTAACGATCATTTCAATGAATTAATTAAGTATAGTTACAGTGCATTTCATATTATTGTTATTCATTCTTATTCAAAAATAAAAAAAGCACTAAGAGATTGAAATCGCTTCATATCTTTCTTTCTACGAATTAATTCTTTCTTCCTGTACTATATCCTTATATGCAATCTTTCTTTTATATATATCACCACCTCTGAATTAACTACTTTTATGAATCCCGATTTTCATCTTGTTGTGTTAATGAAGTATGGCAACTTGGACCAATGCATATATGTGCCTGGTCCTACGTTGTAGCTGACTGACTGACTGAATGCTAAATGAAATTTGTAACAGTTACTAAGTTGGAAATGAATACTTGTTCAAAAATTTTAAGTTTTTTTTAAAAATCATCTATTAAATAAGTATTAGCTTACTTTATTTTGAAAGCTTCAAGGATCTTTGTTCATCTAAAACGTCTTATTGAATATATGGATCTTTTCGCACTTTCCTACCTATGAAGGTAATAAGAGATTTACAATGATGTCACCTATTTTACACAACACAAAATCACCAATAACATAGGTATTCTTAAATCATTCTGAATAAATAAGGTAGTTTTGTACAAAATTATTGTTATATTTCGTAGGGATTTCCATAAAGGATCAATAACAACTAAACATCCACTGAAAATCAACAAGTATTTGATATCTGTTTTGTTCTTGCTTGCGACTACTCATCAGTGCATTGTGAAGATCATACAATGATCTTCATATCTTACGGTGAATTCAGGGATATTATAACACGACTGAGTGAATACTAAATGGTGTATATTTTAGAACAAATTCGCTTTAAAAATTTATAAAACCACGCTAGTCATTGCTTATAAGGTGGATTTCATAGTTTCAGTTGTTGGTCATAACCTGTATAGTCAACCAAATGGAGAATAAACCAGTGACTGAATGGGAATTACAAGAGAATTCCAATTTTTACAATTGGTCATTTGTAAGTGAAAAGAAAAACAACACAAAATAATCTGTCTTCATAAACATTTTAGAAATGATCAAGAGTAATATTACATCAATATATTTATTTCAGTCGAATTATTCAATGAAAATATAGATAGTAAAACACTAGTATGTTGAATGAACAAAGTTAGTATTTGAAATTGAATGATAGTTGAATAATCAAATGTATCTAATCAATATTTTATTGTGTGATACTAAACAAACTGCATGTACAAACAGAACTCAATGAAACTTCAACAAAAATATTTGTTACTTCAATCTGTTTTTTTCATATTAATTTTTACTAAATATTGAATAAATCAGTATATAATCAGAGAGAGGTTTTGTGAAGATTGTAGTAATTTACTAATTGAATTCATTAGTCATATGAAGCCAGATCACCATGAAAAACCTGGAAGCACTGGACGGCCGTTTCATCCTAATATGGGGCTCCTCAGCAGTGCACATCTACGATCCTGTCTCACGAGATTCAGACTCAGGAATTATCAGTCTCGCGCGTGAACGCTTAACCTTGAGACCACTGAGCCACTGTATTAAACAAAATGATAACCACTTTATTCAATACCATATATTTACTTAAAATAGAGAGTTCTTGCCAAAATAGATGAAATATTTTAACAATATTCCCGTTTTTAATCATCCAACTTATGTATATCCAAACAATGAGCATAAAAGGTTTCTAATCATTCATTATCAATCATTCATATTCACTCACCCACAAATGTTTAAGAATGGTTATGTTTCCGTAACATTATTTTCTATTGTAATAAATATTTGATGAATGAATTTCATAGTAATCGCCTGTCATTTTCTCATATATTATAGGTGCTAAATGTACAAACCATCTCTTTTATTCTTTTAAATTTCCTCAGTAATTGTATCTACTATAGCCTACTAGAATTTTATGAAAGTTCTTAAGTGTTTCCGGCTGACAGGTACAATTACTCAATTGAAAAAAATATCTAAAATAGGAATTTGTATAACAATAGATCTATATTTAATAGTTTAGATGTTTTAGCAACCAGTCATTTATGAAATGCTAACTAATTAAGACTTTGTTAGACATAGTAGTTACTTATATACCATGAAAGTTCTTCAAATCGTTTTGATTTTTCTTGATAATTAATCAAAAACGTAGTGAAATCTTATCCATTTAGATATCACATAATGTTTGTTTTTATGATATCAACTGATATAAATTTTAGTTAACAAATATATCATTCAATAACATTAAATATTCCTCTTTTTACCTTCTCTTATTTCAATAATCATTGAATATAACAGTGGCGTTCTAGGCTGTTTTCTGATACCATTCTTTACAAATTGTTGTAAAGATGTTAAACATGAATGTCCATTCTGTGGTACAGAAATTGGTATGGTTAAATGTATCTAAATGTGTTTTTTTAAAAAAAATGTATTACTGGACAATGAATAGAAATACTTATTTGATTGGAAATCACTTACATCCTATGAACATATACCATATTTACGTTTCATAAATATTTTTACTTATGTTCTGTGGAGAACAATTTTTATTCAAAGTAAATACACTAATCTCAACCATAAAAAATAAAACATGTATTACTTCGAAGGTGTTGCCATTTTTATGAAAGAAAGAAAGAAACCCCCAGAGACTTTTTTTAAAATTATAACTCAAATACTGATTTCTTATTTTGCTGTATTATGTATAAATCAAAAATGAATAGTAATCTGTATCTAATGTTATTGTCAACATAAAATTCTATTAAATATTCAACATTTAACATTTTGATTAATCATTGTAAGTTTATTTCTTACTATTGAAAAGTGTTGATATTTTAATAAACAATAATTTTTTCTTCATTATTATTATTATTATTACCATTGTGGGATTCGCATCCAAAACTGTATCTTTGTCTTAATGTGATATGGCAACTTGAACTGATGTATGTATGTACAAAGTTCTACGTTGTTGACTGACTGACTGACTGACTGATATATATACTCATGAAACTATCCTATTTTTTTAAATTTTCTTCTAAATATTTCATTTTAATATGGAAACAATTCGTTTTTTGTTTTAAAAAAAATTGAAAATAGAAACAAAAATCATATTTGGTATTATTTAAATTGAATTAAAATGTACTTCTTTCTCTTTTTTTACTTTTCACTTTCTTTACGTATGATGTATCTGTTATTTAATTGTTTGCCTTTAATAACTTCTTCTTAACTAAATGTATTTATTTATTCAATGTATGCTTTTTTAATGATCAGATATGTATGAATGTTTTCATAAAGTATTAATAAATTTCATAATAATTGTAATTCATCTATTTCTTATAGTTTACTTATTGTAAACAGTTTTAAAGTTTCGATGGTTTCACTTTCTCAAGTTAATACAATTTATATTAAATAAAAGAGTAATATAGTTGCTGGGTAGTTTACTTTAATTTTTCAACAAAAAGAAACCATGGAAAGAAAATACCGGCACCGAGACTAGCCTGTATAATTTGTGCTCAACAGAAGTTTAACCGAAAAAAATCTCTCCTTTTGTTGTTGTTGTATGATTTTTTTTAAAAAAAATAAAAGATTTATCACTATGGATTAATATATTTACTCATTTACTTTTTTAGTGAAGAAATGATATACATAGTCTGTTAAGGATTCTAAAGAAAACTATTTTGATAATGTCTCATCATTAATTGAAGATAATTTCATTAACTAGTTTTAAGGTTTTGTTTAAAACTATCTCGGCTTATTACGGAATATCAGTGGAAAACATATCTAGTTGTCTTTCAAAGATTTTCAATTATATATAAATGTTGTTAATTAAGAAAGTTTCATCTAGCGATGAACGTCGTTTAAGTGCCTAAGATTCACGACGATCGTATTTAACTACAAAATATGACCACTAAGAATAAAATAAAAGATGATGACAGAGTAATAATCAGCTAACTAATAAAACTTCTCATTTATGTTTCTTAAAGTACTGACATTTCCAACAGCTGAGGTATACCACAGTCTTACTAAGATCGTGTAACATTACTTGCAAGAAACTAGACAGGCAATCAGTTTGGCGTTGTAAGATATTAGAATAAAAGTAGACTACTTCAGTAAACTACTGCATATCGAGAATGGGAAACTGGAGTTAACAGAGAAGAAATACGAGGTTAGAAGCATAAACTATGCTGGGATTCTTGTTACGATAAAATCGAACAGTCTTGAACTCAAAGATCTTCAAGTATCGTATCAGGAAGGAAAACAATAAAGGCAGCTGTAGCGGTGAATAAATCCCTAAACCAAATAGTTCTGTAAGTCTTTGGCATTGATACTGGCCTGATTAGTTCACTGCGACACACCTAGCTAAGGCTCTAGGTCATGCATCCATACCTGATCACGAGTGAGCACGCCATGATACGCATCTCTAGCGATCGTTGACCAACTCAGACAAAACCCTTCCTGACATATCGATGTTCTTCCGAATATATCTTCAAACGTCTTCGTTTCTGACTTTTGATTTGACTGGGTTGGCATACTTCGATTATAAGATTCTTAAGTGTAAAGGCGTTATCAGACTCCGAATACCTGCGGCATCTTTACAATAACTGATAGGAGAGAAATTCCATTATAAAAAGGACAAATGTTAATGGTAAGAGGTTACTAAGGCGACTGTTCAAAAAGTTATCATGTAACTGTATATTGTTTAATGCTAGTCAACCACTTGCTACAAAAGTGTCAATCGTGACGAAAGGCTGTTTTATTTTCTTGATTACTCTTTTGCAATGAACATCTAATCAATATTTCTCAACACAGGTAAGCGTATTATCACTCCCAGAATGTGCATACATAGATTCGAAATTGTTTAGTGCTGTGACTCGGTGTATCAGAATTTAATATCTAGTTATCAGGTGTAGCGGATTATCTAAAAGGATTGTTCTAGAAAGCAAACGCACTTAAAATGGGTCTAGACTAACCTTGGTCAGATTTCACCACAAATGTCGTGAACCCAACATGAAAGGATATAGGATATATGATTAGGATGTTTCATTTCACTCGGTTATTTTTAACTCAATTTACCACCCATGATTCGACCTTAAGCATCAAAAAGTAGGATATCTACTTGGGACAGTACACGAAAAACCGTTTAAAACTCGTGTGAACTCTTTGAGGTTAGAATAACTAAGTTGCCAAATTTCCAACACGAAGTGAAAAGGCGGTAGCCCCTTTTGCTAGGTCGGAACTCAAAAGAGCTCGACATCCCGCAAGATTCCGTGTATTATGGTGGATTTTACTGAAACTTTTAATCTAAAATCACTTGTTCCACCTTTAACCTGAGATTTACCAATCTTATTTAGAAAGAACAAAACAAAATTTAAGTGTCTTTCCACCCAGGATCTCCTAGTACTACTTATAGTAACAAAATTACTATACATTTACAAACCACAACCTGATCCAAAAAAATAAATTATAGGCCGAACTGAGCTGGCAGGCCAGTCATCCTTCATAAGTTAAGAGAATCTTCCGAAAAGTAACCAAAGGCTAGATCTCAACACGACCTAAGTCACAATTAAGTTCTTAATAGGCAAGCAACTTCCAGAAGCAGTATCAACAGTTAGCGTCTGTAAGCTTTATAGAATTGGACAAAAAGTGGATTCTGCAAGTACGTAGAAATGCTGCCTCTTAACAGTCACCTCTACTTTGGTTGAAGAAAGAAACCGAATGCTGGAAAACTCGCGCAAACTAACTGGACCCGCAATATATATCCATGAGGATCTCATGCTGATCGATCGTATTGAGAGACGACCGACAGATGTAGAACTAGACGAGCTCCACCCGAACGGTGAGAAAAACCTTTTACTTCAGGGTCTTCTCATTGTACAAACTGAGAGCAAAATGGTCCTCAAACCAATTTGGGTGGTAAAAGAAAGCCCTTCACAGAACTGAAGGTGTGCTATACAAACACCTGCAGCCTTCAAAACAAAATGGCGGTGCTCAAGACAATGATAGACATAGAAAATTCTGATGTCATTGCCATCTCCTAATATGGTCAACGTCGAAAGTGTGTGATAGTAGAATTCAATTGATTGATGTACTTCCCAGTGGAGCTGATAGATGAAACCTCAAGAAAAGTGGGGTTATACCATACAAGAAAAGTACCTTAACCATTTCGTGCCTCAAGGTAACCCTCGTGCTATTGACAGAAGAAACCAGAGAAGTAGTGAAAAGGTCTTTATTTCGATCTTTGCGCAGTCACAGTGGAGTGTGTGATTATCTGTTCAGACAAACAAAGGCTCTCAACATTCAGTATAGAATAATAGGGAATACAACGCTTATACAAAATAAGGAAGTGAATGAATACTTGAACAATACTGTTTTAGTATATGCTTGGTTGTTTCGGTTCAACTCTTAACCAACCAACCTAAGCTGTTACATTAGCTTCCCCCTAGAATCGACTTCCGTAGGTAAGTCGGTTCGATTAACCTATCTATCGAAAACACCTTAGTTCTGTTTCTCATCCTAAGGGAAAATTATCAAATCGCTCACTATTTGACTTACAATCAGTTACGACTAACGCTGTCAACGATAGTCCATGGATGTCTCCTCATTTACTAGCTTGTCATCTTATTTTGTAGCATATGATTTCTTCTACAACTATCGCTGACGGTTTGCTGCGTGCTTTCAAGAGAAAGAGTGGGAATGTGGAACAAGAATATCTGAGGAAGTGCCGCGAGCGGGCTACCCAACACCATGTTGGTGAGGTACGATTTTTCCATGCTCAGACCGGCTATCAGGTGTTTACTCACCTGCCTCTTGAGTCGCCCTGAAGTAAAAGGTAAAGAAGAATCTACTTCAAAGGTAATGGTGAAAATCAAGCAAACCTGAAGAACTGCTCCACTGCCTGCATAAAATAATAAGATACAAAATGAAAATACATAAATGTAATAGATAGTTGTTCGGTTCCATGTAAGTGCTTGGCCTCCACAACAAACTGTCGAGACAGTGCACATGAATCTGGGACACGTGAATTGGAACACCGCAGGCCGAAATTTAAGTGGTAAGTTATTGAATTGGTTGTGGTGAACCTCAGTCCATAATTTGTAGTATATGACTCCCTTCTACACAAACATCAGTCCCGGTGTAATGGGGCTGAAAGCCTTACAATAGGCTACTTCAATTCACCATATATAAACTGGGGAAACTTATAAGTAGGGTTATCAACAATATCATTTGATTGGAAATTGTTGGAAATCACAATCGCCCTAGCTTCATTCCAGCATATTAAGGATCCCACCAGATATGAACTATAAAACTTCTCATCTCTCTTGAGCCTAATCTTCACACACGATGATGATGTTGGTCAAGGAACTTTCCTCCTACTTCTGTGGAGAAGTGATCATTCTGTCAGACTACTCAAGTCTATGGCTGAAATGGTCTGTCGAATAGTTGCGTCGTTCGTCCTAGCATATGGATTGCAGACATGAAAGCAATTAACTCTGTAGCATCAGCCGAAAAATGGATCTTTGACTCAGGGTCATAGACTCATTTCGGGCAGTTATACAACCACGTAACTCAATCACATATGCCCTGAACGGTCCCAAATAATAAGAGACACGGCCGTCCTTGGATTGACCGAAATAGTCGACGTTTACTAAGACAAAAGAAGAAATGTTGGAACATTTCTATCAGTCTTAGCAAACCAAGTGTGCCGAACACTACAGGTCGGTAAGAAATATGTGTATAACTAAAATCCGGGAAGCTCAGTGAGACTATGAAATGCAGTTAAACCAGTCTTGTAACCAAGCAGCTTAAGAGACTATTCTCACATATAAATTACGGAGCATGGGTGCAGCATTACATTCCCGACCTAGTTACGGAAGAAAGTGGATCTCAAGTGATAGAGAATGATCACAAAAGAGCAGAGGCTATGACAAACTATTTCGGGACAGTTTTTACCCACAAGTATCTTCTAGACGAAGAACTAGACCCAAATATAAAAGTCAATAAAACGTCTGCTAATCGTGTACTTTGATATGGATAATTTACTTTAGGCTTTTGGCATTTTATACAAGAAAAATTCAACAGAACCGGATGAACTACACCCCAAAATCTTGAAACAAATTGCACAATATATTCCTTCCTCACTAACTGCGATATTCAATCATATCACCAAGGTGAGTTACCTACGGACTGAATGATGCAACTATCACTCCAATACACAAACTAGGACCAACATAACTTTCACCGAACTACAGATTTGTTAGTCCCATCAGTGTCGTAGTTAAAATACTGGCAAGAATAATCTAAAAGATAATAATGGCATTCGTGGAAATTAAAAACTTATTAAACGGAGGAAAACATGGCTTCACTAAAGATTTATCTTACACAACAAGTCTCTTTCTATCAAAGGAGCAGTAGATAGAGGTTCTAAACAATGGGAAATCAGTTGATGTAGCCTACACAGACTTCAGCAAAGCATCTCACAAGATGCCAACAAATACACTACTCTTGGAGCTTCAAAATCTAGGCACTGACTGGACTCATCTAAAATGGCTTAAAGATTTCCTGGTAGGTCGTAGACAGAAAGTGAGAATAAATTCCAAGTGCTTCATCTGGAGACCAGTACTTAATGGAATATCGCAAGATTCTGTTCTAGGTCGTCTACGTTTTCATGCCGTGTGTAAATGAGCTCCCAAGTATGGTTTATCCCCCAGTGCTAATATACGCTGATGATGTGAAAATCTGACAAGAAATAACAGGAGACACAGATGCATCCGCACATCAAAGAGTCTTAGGAATTCTGTTTGACTGGCCTAAAAAGTGGCTGATGCCTATCAACGAGGCAAGGTGTGTCTACATACACTTCATGCATATAAAATCTAGAAATGATTATGGACTTGAAATATCCTTTATTTTCCTTCCTACCAGATTGGAACGATTCAGAGGACATAGCGGGCAATTAGAAAAGCCGAGAACGAACAAATCACATGTGACATACCGGTTTACACACCGAGTCATCAATACTTGGAATCCATTACCCAAAGTAGTGTTGCCCTTACCTTCAATAAACTCATTCAGAAAAAAAACTAGACACTCACGAAAACGCACTAGAGAAGGAATAACACAGGCCATAGAACTCCTGTCCTTACCACACAAATCTGAATAACTTGGATTGAACGTTGAACAGCAACCGTAAATAGTTTTGAGGCTGGCTTTATGTATTACATCGCTACGGTCTCATTTTTCTCATGAATAATTCTAGGCCAAATGAGTTACTAGTTAACAATTTCAAGATACCTAATTGGTAAGAGCTCTTGCTACAAAGCTTTTGACACTTTTTCTGAAATTTAGGTCAGGTAAACCCCCGCCAGGTCTTCATCTAGATGTGCTCAAAGATGGGAAATTGATTCAGGTAATTGGTATTCTGTCTGTAGCTAAATAGCATAGAAACTTATAATAGATGAAAAGAGCTGTTACTTTTTTGGTAGAAATAAACAGTTATGCGACTTTGCCGTGGATCATCAATCATGCTCACGTGTGCATGCAGTTTTGGTATGGCACAAATTCTTGAGTCGTGCGTTCCTAATTGACCTTGGAAGTGTCCATGGAACTTTTATTGGGAAAATTAGGTTGGAACCACACAAACCTCAGCAGGTCAGTTTTATCTACCTTACATCTACTGGTCCCTTCTTTTATAACAAGTCTGAAACTGTTGGATTTAGATTTGTGTATTAATAACAGAAGCCCAAGTGTCTGTGTTAGTTTTTTTCTGATAAGATTCTGTAAGTATCCAGTCTTATCCTGTATAAACCAATTGACGGTGTGGATATCAATCCTTCCACCAATAGGATGCAAGAGCTGGTTACCTGGTGGGAAAACCTGTTTGCATCAAAATTTTTGTTCATCCTCCAGTTCCCAGCGTGCCCGCTATGTCCTTTAGATTTTCCAAACCTACTTAGAATAAGATAAGTCGTTTCACATCCGAAAGTAATTATGATTAGGGTATTAATTAATACATTACTTAGTACCCTAACCATAATTACATCCCCTTTTAATCTGTAATAAACCAGCTTAAATAGATCCAACATTTCTTTATATTAACTCATCGTGAACCTACACTTGTATCTTTCCCACCTGTTACATTCAGTTAGTTTGGCATATTTTTAACATGGATGCTTGATTCCCAGGGTTCGTTTCGTTTACATTTATTTTATGTAACCGTAGTTTCATAGAATACTTGACAGTTTCTTCGTACTTTAGCTCACAAGTTCGATTATTTGTAATCAGCGACTTTGTTGTATATAAAAGTTTGGATATGTTCGTAAACGCTCGTATTCAATGGATGCCGTCGAAGCTTCGACTTAAATATTGATCTTGCAATCACACGTTAAGGCTTTTATCTCATTAACATGTTATACAAGTTATTGTTGTGAGACTATAATTTATGGACGACCGTTATTGTGACAGTTCCATGTAAAATGTGGTGTTTGTGCTGCAGTGGTTGTGAATATATATTTGTGTGTATTCCTAATTTTAACCCAGTCACTTATTCCCCAATATAACCAGACTGTTCTCGAGTTATAGATGCCACACAGATGGAAACTACTTCCATAACTTATGTCAGTTGTTAGGAAAATTTCTCGATATAGAATCATTATACAAGCATTTGGTGTTTTTTTACCGCTTAATTTTAGCAATTGAAATTGGGATTAAGATGCTGGCAATAATTTTCAAAAAGTAAAGTCATTAAACGTTGGCTGTTTCAAATTGGTACTTACTGGAGTTCAATAGTTTAATTTGTCATCAGTCAGTCAGTAACAACGTGGAACTTCGTACGTACGTACATCAGTTCGAGTTGCCACACCACATTAGCACAGAGATGCAGTGGTCGATTCAAATCCCGTAGTGGTAGAGGTAGCAAGAGTATAAGCAGTAATCGGGAAGATTAGGGTTTGGAGATGTCATTTAAAGAGTACAATCCAGTGAAATAAATTTGGAAAGAGAAAAAAGAAAGGGACATGAAGAATTCAGAAGGTTAGAATTTAGGAGAACACAGAGAGTAGATGCACCTGCGCCATTGCAAACGATTTTGAGCCATGTCATTCAGGGTCTCTAACCATCGGTTGCTATCATCTCGCGGTCCCCAACCAGGTAGTCTACACCTACCAACATGACTCAGTTCACTTGTCAGTGACTTCATGGACTTGTGCTATGTTTTGGTCTGTCCGACCCTAGCTTTCTTCCAACCTACTCCTATACCATTGAGCATTGCGCATCGAGGCAGTCGGTCGTTGGGCATACGTAACACGTGTCCCAGCCATCTCAACTGATGAGCTTCCATTACTTTATCAGTTGATTTTCTATTCTTACCTGGTACCCGTTTCGTACCAACTGTGTTACTTACTCGATGGTCCCAGGATATACGAGCAATGTTTCGAAGACACCTATGATCAAGTACTAGTAACCTATGAATATCATCTACTCTTACCGGCCATGTTTCACTGCCGTAAAGTAGGACGAAACGAACTGCTGCGCAGTAAGCCCGTCCTTTGTTTGGTAGACGGATATCTCGCCTACGCCATAAATGACGCACGTTGGTAAAAGCTAGTCGAGCCTTTTGTATCCGTGCTGAGATTTCGTCTTACATCAGACCACAAGGGCTGATGAAACTTCCAAGATAAGTGAAGCGGTCGACACACTCAACTACTTCACTCCCTATCATTAGTTCGGGTGTAGATGTAACCCAATCCTGAAGCAACATTTTGCATTTCGAGGGAGAGAATCGCATCCCGAACATGCTTGCATTGTTGCTTAGAGTGGTCAGAAGACTCTGCATTTTGTCAGCGTCTTCACCAAATAAAGTCAGTCAGTCAGTCAGTAACAACGTAGAACTTCGTACGTACGTACATCAGTTCGAGTTGCCACACCACATTAGCACAGAGATGCAGTGGTCGATTCAAATCCCGTAGTGGTAAAGGTAGCAAGAGTATAAGCAGTAATCGGGAAGATTAGGGTTTGGAGATGTTATTTAAAGAGTATAATCCGGTGAAAGAAATTTGGGAAGAGGGAAAAAGGGACATGAAGAATTCAGAAGATTAGAGTTTGGGAGAACACAGAGAGTGGATGCACCTGCGCCATTGCGAACGATTTTGAGCCATGTCATTCAGGGTCTCTAACCATCGGTTGCTGTCATCTCGCGGTCCCCAACCAGGTAGTCTACACCTACCAACATGACTCAGTTCACTTGTCAGTGACTTCATGGACTTGTGCCATGTTTTGGTCTGGCCGCCCCTAGCTTTCTTCCAACCTACTCCTATACCACTGAACATAGCACGTCGAGGCAGTCGGTCGTTGGGCATACGTAACACGTGTCCCAGCCATCTCAACTGATGAAGTTTCACTACTTCATCAATTGATTTGCCATCCTTACCTAGTACCCGTTTCCTGACAACTGTGTTACTTACTCGATGGTCCCATGATATACGAGCAATGTTTCGAAGACACCTATGATCGAATACTAGTAACCTACGGATATCCTCTACTCTTACCGGCCATGTTTCACTGCCATAAAGTAGGACGGAACGAACTGCTGCGCAGTAAACACGTCCTTTGGTTGATAGACGGATATCTCGCCTACGCCATAAATGACGCAAGTTGGCAAAAGCTAGTCGAGCCTTCTGTATCCGTGCTGAGATTTCGTCACAAACCAAACCACAAGGGCTGATGAGACTTCCAAGATAAGTGAAGCGGTCGACACACTCAACTACTTCACTCCCTATCACTAGTTCGGGTGTCGATGTAACCCAATCCTGAAGCAACATTTTACATTTCGAGGGAGAGAATCGCATCCCGAACATGCTTGCATTGTTGCTTAGAGTGGTCAGAAGACTCTGCATTTTGTCAGCGTCTTCACCAAATAAAACTATGTCATCTGCATATTCTAAGTCAACAAGTGAACCTCCCGGTAGAAGTTCAACCCCTGGAAATTTAGATGAGGAGAGTGTTATCACTAAAAGTACGTCAATGACAAAGTTGAACAAGAATGGGGAGAGTGGACAGCCCTGACGAACACCACTTGAGGTGATCAATTCTGATGACAGTTCGCCATAAGCTCTCACTCTACCAGTTGTGTTCGAGTAGAGAGCCTTTATAAGGTAAATGTACTTCTTTGGTACTCCTTTCAGTGACAAACACTGCCATAGAACCTCTCGATCAACGGAGTCGAATGCCGCCTTAAGGTCGAGAAATACTACCATTGTGGGGCATCTGAATGTGTGTCTCTGTTCTAGAACCTGACGTAGTGTGAATATCTGATCTATACAACCACGTCCAGGTCGAAAACCAGCCTGGTTTTCTCTAGTCTGTTCTTCACGAGCTTTAGTTAGGCGTCGAAGTATTATTGAGGCCAATATTTTAGACACTATATTAGTCAAACTGATTCCTCTGTGATTGTCACAAGAGGACTTTTGTCCTTTCTTAAAAACTGGCACAATCAGTGATTGAGACCAGTCAGATGGGATTACGTCCAGTTCCCAAATTCTACCTAAGACCTCAGTTAATCTTGCTGCTAATACTGGACCACCATCCTTAAAAATCTCAGGAGTAAACATGTCAGGGCCTGCTGCTCTCCCTCGTTTCAGATTTCTTATGGCTTTTTCAACTTCGTAAAGGGACGGAGGACTTACATTAACTTGCCATTCAGGTAGACTGGAGATCGTGGGAAACCGAAGTGTGGCTGAAGGCCAGTTGAACTGATCCCCAAAGTGTTCTGCCCATCGATCCAATCTCCTGGATTGAGAATGAATAATATGTCCATCTTTCTCTGAGATTGTTTCGCTAACGGTCGGTTTCCTAATTCCGGTTTCCTTAACGAGTCTAGACAATTGTCTGCTATTACCTATTGCCGCTGCCTTTTCCATCTCTCTTGCTTTCGCTACCCACCACTGTTCGCGATCATTGCGTAGACTTCTTGTCAGCTTGCGCTTAAGCTCACTCCGCTCTTCATTATGTTCAGAGCCAGGTGGAATGAGTTTTCGAGCATCTATCAGTGCGATAGATGCTGCTGAGATCCAGTGTTGCTCCCTAACTTTACGGTTTACCTTACTAGCAGATATCACTGCTGTTTCCACAGCTTTTCGGATATCGTTCCATGCTGCCTCGGGGTGGGCATCACATACATGGCTGCCTAACTCTTTTCCTAGTTGTTCCTGAAATATACTCTTAGCTTGACTATCATTAAGTAGGGCCCTAAGAGGTTTCCTTGCTGGATCTTTCCTACGTCCAGTAAGACGCAAGCAAATACGCGCTCGCACTAGAGCATGATCTGAATCTAGGCATGTGCTCCAGAATGAGCGACAGTCTTCTATCGAGCCCCTCCATCGGTGGCTGATAGCGATGTGATCTATTTGGGTCCAACGTTGGGACGAATTAGGGGGTCGCCATGTTAAAAGATGTTTTTCCTTATGCTTAAAGTTAGTATTTGCAAGGAACAGGCGGTTATCTGAACATAGCTGCAACAGACGGTCGCCATTATCTGTTCTTTGAGCCACGACACCATAGGATCCACCTAGGTGTCTTTCCTTATCGCTTAGTTTACCTACTTGAGCATTAAAGTCACCGGCCACTATTACTACATCCGAGCGCTTAGCTTTTCG